TCTACTTATCTTCTCAAATATGGATTCACCACAAGCACAGCTGACCCGTCCCTGTTACTGTTCAATCGGGATTCAGTTCAGCTCTACCTGCTTGTGTACGTTGACGACATCCTCTTAACGGGCAATCACAGTGGTGAAATTCAGCGATTACTTCACACGCTCAGCTCCAAGTTTCACATGCGGAACCTAGGATCACTAAATAAATTTCTTGGATTACATGCTACGCATTTCTCATCTGGAATTCATCTCAGTCAGACACACTATGCCAAGGAGATTTTGACTAAAGCAGCCATGACAGGCTGCAAGCCCGTTTCCACTCCCCTGCCTACAGTTTTACCGCCCGATGACACAACAACAGAGCTCTATTCTCGGCCGGAATTCTATCGTCAAATTGTAGGCTCTCTTCAGTACCTAACCTTAACCAGACCAGATCTGTCGTTTGCCGTGAACTACCTCTGCAAGCATATGCATCAGCCCAACGTAGTTCATTTTCAGATACTTAAAAGAGTTCTGCGGTACATTCAAGGTACCATACATCTTGGACTCCCTATCATTCGTGCGCCTCTGCAGCTCACGGCTTTCGCCGACTCAAACTGGGCCTCCGACAAAACCGATCGTCGATCAATCACGGGCTACTGTGCCTTTCTCGGGCGCACATTGATATCCTGGACTGTTAAAAAGCAGTCATCAGTTGCACGTTCATCGACTGAAGCAGAGTATCGGGCCATCTCAATCGCGGCCTGTGATATAATTTGGCTCCGTCGCTTACTCAGCGAATTTCAAGTCTCAGTCTGTACCCCGACTAAGCTATACTGTGATAACATTTCGGCTTTGGCGTTAGCTAACAATCCCATTTTTCACGCCCGGACCAAACATGTCGAAATTGATTTTCATTTCATAAGGGATTGCATTCGGTCGAAGTATATCTCTGTGCACCACATTCCCACTGTTGATCAGCCGGCCGACATCTTCACCAAACCGCTCACGGCCACGCGGTTTGCCTTTCTTCATGACAAGCTAACGGTTCAACCACCAACCGTCATCTTGAGGGGGGCTGATAAGGAGACTTGATAAGTGGTCGGATCAGCCGGCTCACTTATAGGATCGTGCTTCACTACCTCTGTTATGGCAGCAGCACCTTTTTCCTTCTCACCGTATGATCTCTGATCAAGCAATCCTAACCACACCTTTTGTAACTAACCCTGCTATTTAGTTTGAGTACTGTAGCAGCGGTTGTATGGTGTAAGAAAAGCTTGAAGATGAAGTGCAAA